ATGTTTCACCACCCAGAAGCATTGGTCGCATGCCCGCTTTACAATATCTGTCTGTTACCATGCAGTGCGCATGCTCAGAGCGTCACACAAACTTACAGTCGCCATGCTTACCGGTTGCGTGGAGTGCTTAATTCGGCACAGGTTGTCCAGGCTACAAGAGCCAGGACAACTGAGATGCCTGAGTTCGGCATCCGCGGTGTAACATAAACCTGCTGCATGGGCCTTCTGTCGATGTCGGGCTTGTCACAGCGCCTCTAGACGGTGTGTCTTGGCTCAGCAGGACGACCAGGGTGGGGAACAACCGCTTAGCTTTGCACTCCTGCAAGTACATCTGGGTCCATAGCCTGAAGCTTCCCACGTGGTCATCAAGTTCGCCGTGCAAATGATGGAGGGCATTTGATTGTCATGCTTTCTTCTAAGCATCTTGTACGCTGGGCCCCCCAGATCAACACACCGCATGCTTTTGTGCTCCCATGACTGCTGTAGTTAGGTTGCCATTGTGGCTTGCCGAGACTGCTTCACGACTCAACGACTGCAAGCTGTGATTGAGGCTGTGGAGGTCTTTGGAATGCCTTGGGCACGAGCAGCAGGTCACTGCTGGTCTCTACATGTTTCAGCTCCTCCTTGTGAAGCAGTCAGAAGCCACCAAAATTTCACCCACAATGTTTCAAGTCTTCAAGATGACAGTTTGCCAACGCTGGGAAGCTGTGCCATTGCTCGGAGATGGCTGTCGGATTCTGAGGAAGCCCTAGTGTTTGTGCAAGCTTCCGCGTACCCTAAGCCGCAAGCCCCAACCTTCAGCATGTACTTCTTTGTCATCTTGAGTCTCAGTCAGTGAGGCGAGAGCGTGCGCGGCCTTCACGTGCGGGCGAAAAGGCGGGCCCCACGTTTCTGCTGCGACCTGCGAAGCAAGATGCGCATCTGGTTGCCTGCTGGAGTAGCTTTTCGATCCTGCCCTCGGTCATGTACAAGACCTCATTACACGCATCTGCAGGTGTTCACTGTGGATAGCGTCGTTGGCAAGTCCTGTCCTGAGTCTTGCTTGCGTCTTGATGTTGGCTCGGTGCTGAGATGCTCTTGCCGTGTCTTTCAGCCCTCTCTGAACGGGAAGGTCTCGTTGGGTTTGGGAGTCCTGAAAGCTGAGAGTCCCTGCTGTTCAGCCTAGGCAGTGGCCACCGATGGACCAGGCAATGTATCTTCTGCATCTTGCTGGGACGTCCTTGCCAAGAGCTGGCAGGTAGGTGACCCGATGACTCCACAGCGCTGCCGGGATATCATGCATCAGCTGCATGTGCAGGACAGAGACCAACGTGTAGTAGAGAAATGAAGACACCCCCGAATGCAGGAAATCGAAAAGATGAGGGGCCAGCGGTCCTTTCCGATGCCTCAGATAAGGCTTCCCTGCCTGGGGTGTGTGCAACTCTGAATTGGGCAACGCCGAAGGCCAGGCGATCTCGTCGAGGTCAAGTACGAGCTGAGTCGCTGCTTGGCCAATCTTTTCGTCATGTGCACAGCCGAAACGGATGCTAGAATCCGTTCGAGCGGTTTCTTCCTGTTTTCCATCCTTCCCACATCCAGTAGCTACACCATCTTCGCCTCACCGCCGTCAGCCTTGTTTGCTTGCGTCCTGGCAAGGCAGCCAGCAAACCTTCGCCGTCTTTCAAGGCAAGACTGAGGGAGACTGCTGTTCTTGGCCCCCCCCCCCACCCCCACTTAGAGGCTTCTGCGTCGAAGTGCGGAACAAGTTCCTGAACTCGGGCTTCGACAGGGGCTTGGGAGACAAATCTGCGGTTTCTGGGGATCCGAAACCTCGCAGCTGAGGTCTTGAAAAATACCTACGACGGAGTCGGAGTGGAGCAGCTGGTCCCACGCTATTCGCAGAGGGCCGAGCATACAGTCAAGCCTGGAGGTCCATGTGTTTTGTATGTTATGTGGTTGCCTCCGTTTAGCTGTGTTATTCTTTGTCCTACCTGGCCAATAAGACTCTTGTGTATGTGTTGTCTCGTCTTTTTTTACTGCTGGGCTCCGGTCGGGTCAGGTATTTACAAAAGCGATGCACCCGCAATTGGTCCGAGGCCTCGAGTGCTTGGGGTTCGCGTGATCCAGGCGCTGAAGCCAAGGCGGGATCGTTCTATGAGTCCTGGACTTTTGGGTCTCCATTCTAGCCAGTCGGATTCCTACAGTCTCGGTGGCGTCTGCAGGTCCGCGGATGTTGACACGCGGCCAGTCTCCAGAAACTACCGCTCCCCAGCTGAGAGAAGCGTAGATGGACCGTGCCGTCACGAGGGAGGCTGGCCTGGCCTTGCATGCTGGCATGCTTAGGTTATGCTTGGCACTATTTTGTGCGCCAGTGGCTCAGTCAGAGATCTCGTGTCAACTCCGTATCGGGCCATATTGAGTTGAAGGTGGCAAGTACTCCTGGGGCAAGCGCCTCCGCTGGAGATTTCATACACCTCAGCGGCCTGGCATCATGCTCCTCGTTCGCAGCCAGCCAGCGACTCTCTTTCTGGTTATGACATGACGGTACCACGGATGGATCAGAAGATCAACTATGGGCGTTTCCGAAAATAGAGGACCCCAATATAGTATCCTAAATAGTAGGAGTTCGTCGGATCCCTAAACTCATATAGCACCCAAAGATACCCAAAGTAGTAGGATCCTTATTGTAAGAACCCCTTTTTGTCACTTTTTGCAGGTCTCTGGAGCCGAAGATTCGCAGAGAGCTCGCAGCTGTGCGACGACGGTATCAGATGCAGCGCAAGGAGGCGCCAACTGCATATAAGGTCTATGGCGCCCATTATATATCCTATACTTGTATAATAAGGAACCCCCCCAAAATTACCCCAGCTTATCTTGCTACCTGCTGCAGGTGCTTCTGTGAATGTGCATGATGAGGGAGGAGGCGAGTGAACAGCAACAGGTCAGCCACTCTGCTGCTCAGGCGCGCTTGCCGCCGTACATCTTTCCTGGTCCATACCACGTGTCTTGGCATTAAAACTTTCGCTGCCCTGCAGAAACGCGATGCGTTTCTATCCAGTGATCGCATAGTCCCAGTGCTTCGCTTCCAGAGAATGTGTTCAGGTCACCCGGAGGCAAACACGGGAAGTTTCGGCCGAGCGTTACCGTCACGGCGCTTAGCACCACCGAGCCATGTGCATCCGATTCGTTGAGGTCTGGATTAGGATTGTGTTTGTTTCTTTTTTTTGACGAGTGTCAGGCTTCTGATGAAAATTTGCGGGCGCCATGTTGCCTGCCGGATCCGTGCGCGCAATCCACAAGTATTGCACAGGGTGCTCAGTTCCAACGGAGGTGTGATGATACCCCTCAACCCTAAACTCATTCTGCATTCGGCCCGGCCGGCGGTCGATGCAACTTGCTTGATTGTGGGACGATCACCAGGTTTCACTTTATTATGAATAATATGCATATTACTGTACTTATACATAAGCCACATATACATGTGTATATATATATATATATACATACACATACAAAGACAAATACACATGCAGATACATATACATAAACATACGTGTACATGTACATAGATATATACATACATATGCAAGATTTGTTTATAACTAGCTTAGTATGTCCTTGGAATGCAAGAGGTCGTTATATGTCTTTGTGTATCGTTAATGTGTTTACCGTCTTAGCATGGACATTGGGTTCAAGGAGAGTCTTGATGGGGCCAAGTGCCAGCGTGTGTATGTGTTAGAAACCTTGTTCACATTGAGTGACATGCCTTGCGACTTTGGTTTTGGTGTGTTTGGGGGGCTTGGGATTTATCGGAGTGCGGTATCTTCAGGTTTGGTTTCTGGGATTCTAAAGGTGCACCCACACACACACACAACCGGGCCTTTGTTTGCAGACATGTATGGACGCAACACAGAGAGATGGATGGATGTTCGCGATTGAGCGAGCTGAGGCCGCATGCTGATCTACGCCTGGGACGAACGACAGCAGAGGGAAGCAAAGAAGAAGCCCGACTTTCTTTTGATGATGCTAGTGAATACTCGTACGCATGATGTGCGTATGGACGAACAGCCATTTTGATACATCGCCCGGTGTTGGTCTTTATTTACATACTTCTTGGATAGGGATTTCCTGTTGGAAGTGTCTCTGGCAGAGCGACAAGTTGTTGAAGCCTCATGCAGATACGTTCCAAGGAAGCGGCTTGCTGACAATCACCGCTGGGGCAAGTTCAGGCACCGAGAGTGCGGCGCACCTTTTGACTTGACAGTGCAAGAAGTCCAGTGATCTTGCCAGGATTGACAAGGAGCCCAAGACCACTGCCTTGTCCGACCTTCCAAGCAGCCTTGCCCAAATTTACATGTTGTCTTGGAATCCTTTGAGAGTGCATTTCGCTGTTGCGGAGGGGGGAAGAGGAAATCAAAGGCGGGTTGCATCGCAGTTCTGGCACTCAGGCTACCATCCCCTGATGGACAACTTGCCAAAGTGAGCTGAAGTGATGCAGCGACGTGACGTGTCGTCGATGGGCCCAAAGCAGGCGGCTGGCAGCGAGCGCAGCAGCAGAGCAGCGAAAGATGCTTCGCAAAGCTTGGAGGTATCGTTTACAGCTGCCGTCCACACATCGCAACAACCCCAATATTTCCCCCAGCCGCCTCAACCCTAAGACCTAGACCCTACAAGCAAGTATGGCTTTCTGTCCCTCCATTTTTGGCTCTCCGGAGGGAGGAGGATCGGAGGATCGGAGCGAACGGTCCCAGGGTGGCCGGCGCCCCGAGCAGAGGCGCGGCACCCGGGACTCGCCATCTCTGCTTGCAAGAACTCCAGGGTTGAAGATAGCAACAAAAGTAGCTGATTAGTATTACTTTTCGCAAGGATACTGGAAATCGTACAGCCAGCAACGCTGCTAACAGTAGTAGTGCTAGTAATTGAAAGAAGACGACTAATCATGGTAGCAGTAGTTATAGCAACACTGCTGACGAGGCTGCTGTGCTTCGGGCTCTCTTGGTTTCTTCTGAAGGCTGCATGCCATGCTGAAGCCGAAGAACATCCGATTCCGAGCACTTGAGAAGGCCTGGGACCCTGAATCTGCTGTGAGGGTTTAGGGTTCAGGGTCAGGGGTTTAGGGCTTAGAGTTTCCAGGGATATGCGACTAGCCACCACCATTTGCCGAGTTTGCTTCGTGCGCGCAGGTTAAAGTGCGGCCTCGCAGTTTGGTGCAAATATGTTTGCAGCGTGTGGCGGAGAACTTCTTGCGCCGCTTGGGTGCACCCAGAGCTCGGTGGAACAAGCAGATGAATCTATAGCTCCCTGTTGCCCTGCTCGTCTCTTACTATTGTTGTTGAGCATCGGCTGTTGATGTTTAAGTTTGACAGAGAGATGACACTAGCTTGGATAGTTCAGGTGTCGTCTTACCATCATTGCCGTGCAGTTGTGATTCGCAGCCTTGTTGCGCTTTCCAAGCTTCTTGAAGCTGAGAATATGACAACTTGCACGCCAAGCTCGGGCGAAAGCAACTGGAGGAGCCACGGAGCATGACACGTGCTCCGCACCGTGGGCAGTAGGGAGACGAAGCTCGTTACCATGAGGGCAGACATGACTGTTGTGAGTGCCTGTGAGCCTCGAAGGATGTTTATGCTATGCTGGACCTCGACATGCCCCTTCCAGAAGCTGCTCTTAGGACCCATTGCCGGTGGGACATTCGAGTTGCAATTGAAATCGTGAAATCTCGGGTTCCAACAGACAAAATCGAGTCGGGATGGCGACTGAACCTCCAAGGAGAATCGGAGGTGTGATGTTTGCCCGAGAAGGGCTCATGCCAAGTGCCGTGACTGCAGGATCAACGACGAGAACTATTGGAAGAGGCGGACACAGGCGGGAAAATGCTTGCCGCGAAGGTCATGGTGACAACAGCCTACTACTGGCAACGGCAAGAGTAAGCACAACAAGACTAGCTATAGTCACAGTCATACCGATGTCCATTTACGTGATGCTGAGGAAGAACAGAGGATGTGGTAGCAATGGCAATAGAATTTTCAGCACGTTCCTGGCGTCGGCAGCAATCATGCAAGGTTTCACTTCAGCCGGTGATTCATGTAACCCTCAACCATCAGTTCGAAAGCCCTAAAGGCCCCCCAACGGCCTTAAACCCTAAACTTCAAAACACAAAGATCAGAACGTCATTGTCGAAGTTGGCAGGCGAAGCACCCGAATGCACAGGTAGAGAAGTGGCGGGCCCGGGGAGCTTTCCCTCAATTCTTGTCTTTAGGCTCTGTTTTGTTGTCTTCAGGGTTTCAGGCAGGATCGTAGGTTTCAGCGTTTTGGGTTCAGGGGTAAAGCGCATCTCAGTCTGTCTATGCTGGTGGATAGCGATCAGTCTAGCTGCCTACCTGTCTACATAGAGTATGTTAGTCAGGACCAGGTCTTTGACGAGCGCAGCAAGCCGTGATTCCACGCTAGATCAACAAGAAAGTGTCAAGATGCCAGCAAGTGAAGCTTGAGCAATAATGGGTACGGAAATCATCGGCAACAGATTTCAGTCGCTAGGGCTCCATTCCCCGTCCTCCACATAACAGCGCCACATGTGCCACCATCGACGCATCGATTCAACCTCGCGAATCCTGTGTAATCATTCCACTGGATGGTGATTGCTACCGTCAGCACCATCCTCATCATCTTCATTGTCTTCATCAGCATAGTCGTCTCGCGTGGCCACGATCAGCATCATCATCATCATCATCATCACCATCACCATCACCGTTATGGCCGCTACACATTACGCACCACCTTTACGTCAGCATCGCCAAGGCATGGTATGTCCTGGAAGCAGACTTACCTGGAGCTCCTTTCTCAGATTTGGGCAGACTTGCTACCAGTCGAGCCTGGTGAAGACTGCAGAGTTTCTCTCCAACCTATAGCTGCAGTGCCTTGCTTGAAAGCACCACAGCTTGCGTGACTGATGGTGAGACAAGTGGTCTAGTTGAGGGGAGGCACAACAAAAGCGACTTTTTTCGAGTTTTTGGCACATCACCCTGATGGATTCGTTTCCGACTGAGGATAGAGTTGCAAGAGGCGCTGGAGCGGGTGCCCATCACCGTAGAGTCGGGCACTCTGTGTGACATAGCATGCTGCATCAAGCATGGCACGACGAAAGCCCGTGAAGATGTAGTCGGTTCTGAATTCCCGATAATTTTGCAGCCGAGTCAGGTAGATTGCAGATTGTGCAGAGTCATCGACGTTCCATTGTCCTGCACGATTGACATTTCACGGGTTTAGGTATGGGAATCCCGAGCTCGAAGCGTTGAAGCAGCAAGTCATGGCTTCAAGGCCATTTCTCGTCTTGGGCTTGTCGCGTGCTGGAGCGGGTCATTGAGTCTTCCGATCCCATGGCAGGCTGTACGTCTACCAACTTCAGATTACTCAGTTCCCCTCCCACTTGGACCTGAGCTCAGATGTGAAATCGGGTGCTCCATTGTCCTTTCACATCTGCGTCGGCAGGATCTAAGCTTCATCTTCGACGCGTTGCCTGCGCTGCCGCATCGCCAGTCTTTTTGTGTTTCTTGTTCGCTTGGTCCTCGCAGCGCCCAGGGCACTCGGCGTTTCAGGTGCACGTTCTCGATTACCTACGGAAACAAGCGGCTGGGGATGGATTACGAGCGTGCGATGTTCGGCATGAAGATCTCAGATGCCGTGTGCTCGGTGCGGTCGCGTAATAACTGCTGACGCAGTCATGCAGCTGCATACAGGACCAACACCAGTTTGCACCTATGATTAGCAAAGGAGTGCAGGATTGTGCATAGTACTGCTTCGCACATGATCCCCTGTGCGGCAGCGCTTGCTCGTTTACATCCTGCAGGCGCAGTATCTCGCGCGGGACATTCGTGTGTCGCAAACTTTAGTTTCACTCTCGTTGCCGTGCAGGGCTCAGCTCAGCAAACTAGATGTCGCACGAAAAGGAAAGGCTTAGTCTGACCAAACTCCAAGGTGTAACATGATCGATGACGAGCTTGTTAAGGCGAGCAGTGAAGTGGGATACCGGACACGAAGGGTGGTGAATCTCCTTGTCTTTGTGTGCATGAGCTCTGCTGCCATTATTTCTCGGCGCGCATAGCTGCGAGGGAGGTTTCGAGTTTGATGAGCAGCGCCCGGATCAAGCCCTCGTTTTAATACTCTTCGTCCAGGTGGTGCCGTAGTTCTGCCGCGTCAAATTAAATTAGTCGAATGAGCTGAAGCGTCGAGACAGCAACAACGGAAACATGCATTGGGTTGAACGGATTGAGTCTTTGCCATGAACCTGCTCTCAACCTTGCAGACAAGGAATGTTTTATACAGGAACCAGCCAATCCCGTGCTGAGCTGTGCTGGATGAGGTTGTTCAGTGCCTTTTCTAGTGGCTTGTTCAGAGACTGTTAATCTAATCATAATGTTCTGTCTTTTTCCTGGTGTCATTTTCAAAAGAAGCCTTTCTTCTGCCAACCAGCTCCTTTACTTGAGGTGACATGCTGACAAGCGTGGAGAAGTTGAAACCTGTGCTGGGATGTGCAGGAACCGTAAACTGTAGCAGAGTCTGACTCTATTCTCTTCCGAAGCCGTCGTTCCGGACTCCTTCGGTAACTGCTGCTTGGATATCCTCAGCTTCATGGGAATCTGTACTTCTTGCCTTGATGATGGCTTGTTGGTCTTGCTTGCCAGACTTTCTCCGCTGGCGCCTGACACGCGTGACATTCCTTTTCTGTGTGTTTGTTTTTCGTAACGCTTTGAAGTCGCACCTGCCTCCGTAACAGGTGCCAAAGCTGGAACGTCGAGCAAACAGAGTTTGACTTGCATGAGGGCTATAATGATGATCATGGCAATTTTCATGGCATCTGTTGGTGTTGCTTTGAGCGGGAACTGAGTGCAAGCGGCATCCTGATCTTCTAGATTCTAGACAGGGCACATGCATGTGTACATGTGTACATCTCTGTCTAGCTATGCTCCATATATATATATATATATGTATACACACATACACATGTGCACACATGTATGATATGCATTTTGTACATACGCCCTCCACCCCTCTGCCGTCCGTCGGATCTTGGATTTTGTGGCACACGGCACGGGCGAGAGGTGATGCATTTAAGTTGTTTCTTTGGTATGTTGATATCTCGTCAGGAAAAAGCGAGATAAGATCGATGTGTTTCGGTCAAATCGACAAGTCGTATGATCAAGGACTTGATCTTTGCAAGCCAGGTGTTGATGGGTGGTCTTTCCTATGGCCACATGCTCACACACCTTGATCTCAGTGCCATCCTCAGCCGTCGCAGACTTCTCGAGGCAGCGGTCGGTAGACTCTCGGTAGCTGAGGCCACAACAAGATAGGGGATCGGGGGGCGAGACGCTTGGCCTCTCTACTGGACCCGGACTACTGCTTGCAGGCAAGGCGGCAAGGCAGGGAGTGCTGGAAGAGAGGCAGCTCTCGCTGGCCAGCGGAGGCCCTGGACCTGAGCGACAACCAGATCCATGCCAATGGTTGCATGCATTTGGGCCAATGCCTCGAAGTACGGGGCGACAGATTGCACTCCGAGTCTGAGTTTGTCTCGCGACCAGGTGCCCACCTGGCGGAGAATATCACATGCCAGGTGCGGGCTCGTGGTGCAAGACATGTTGTATTACTAGCCCATGTCGTGTCATCGGCACATCTGCGGCTCCTGCGCCAGCGTCAGGTGCTTAACCTGCGACTCAATCGCTGCGAAGACAACGGCGTGTCGCATTTGTTTCAGGACTACGCTTGTGATGCTAGCTAGTCTGTACATCCCCAAGTCTGCCGCCTTCTTTGCCGTAGCACCACTCAGGTATATTACTGAAGAAGTCGGCTGCTGCACGCAGACTTACCCGTGTTTCCAGTCACTCCTTGGTGCGAGGATATGTGTGTGAACAAGCATCTGCAAACCCTGAACATTGCTTGCAATGCGCGTGCCTTATTGTCTCAGCTCTTTGCGTTCACACAGTGCAGCAAGTGCCTGTTGAAGCTCAGGACTTGACGGTGAGATGTCTGCCCTATTTGAATGCAATGTCTGTAGCTCGGTTTGGCGCAGCCGGACTGCCTCGTTGCATGCTCATGCCCAAAGCGGTTTCTGAGAAATGCAGGAGAGGCTCGTTTAATAAAGTATAATAAAGTCTGTGGCCGTTTTGTGTTTCGAGAAGTGATGAGGCTGGCTGAGAACGGCACCTTGTTGGAATTGGACGTCAGCGCAAATCCGTCAGCTCCTGAGATGCGCAGTTGACGGCATTGGCTAAACGGCTAAACGTCTTCGCCTCCCCTGGACTCTGCTCACAAGGGTGTTGGTTTGTTCCCTCTCATGATTCTAATGAATGTGCCTTTGCACGGTAACCAAAGGCTCCATCAAGTTGAAGAAGAAGGAGTCCATCAAGGCAGGCGGAATGACGGAAACGCATGATGCATCAAATGGCAACATTTCAGTGACAGGGAACCAGCGGCCATGCACGTGCAGATCCAAGAATGCGAGCTTTCCAAAAGTAAAGAACTGCATGATTACGGCAAGATAAACATTTGCACGCGCACAAACTACTGTACATGGATGCAGCTCATGCGCAACACGCATGACATGCAAAGTGTGTGACATGAGCACACACACACATAAATGCCTGCTGTCATACGTGCATGACTGCATGCATGCATGTATCTATATATACATGTAGATCTATGTACCTACCTACCTACCTTTCTACCTACCTAGCTCAAGCTGGATAGCTAGCTAGCTGTCTATCCATCTATATACGCACACGCATACACACGTGTTTGCATGTGGATACATGCTTACACACGTATGTATATGCGCGCATCCTCGCACACACAGGGTCCACAACAAACACAATCAAAGCCAAAACACCTGCGCGCACGTCTACACACACAGAGAAATCCCAAACCTCTATCGCCCGAAACCCTAAACGCCAAAGAAGCGTTGGGGACTTAGTGAGCGAAGGAGCAGCCAGCGAGTCGGTTCCTCCCCTTGCCACCTCGGAGGTGCCAGGGATCTCCGGAGAAGACGAAGACTAAGGGGCATCCATAGCTCTCACCAGAGGCCCTAAAGCTTAAGCTTTGGCATCCGAAGGCCGGAGTTTCACTTAAAACCCTCTGAACCCAAACTTTAAGAGCCTTCTCAACCCGAAGCCTGAAAACCTGCAAGCCTGTCAGTGCAGCGATGGAAGTGCGCCCGCGGAATGCTGCAGCGAAGGGTTGTTGTAAGCCCGGAGGGTGCGCAACCAGCCAAAACCACCTCAAACAAGGGTGCCGGCAATGTGTGTGGAGTTCCAAAGGCTTTCAAACTCAACCGTCTGAATCCCTCGAGTTCCTCGAACTGTGTATGCCCTAAACCCGCTAAACCCGGCCCAGCTCCTCAACGCTACAGTGCACCCCAAAGACAACAACCCTGAACTCTAAGCCTGTCGAAGACCCCAAACCCCAAGCGCTGTTTTTTGGGGATCGTTCCCCCAAGCGTAACCCCTAAACCCCAAAACCCCAAGCCCCAAACACGAAAACAAGCCTTATCAGCCTTAGACCCTAAACCCCAAGCCCGAAAGCCTGTCGAACCCTAAATGGCCTTAAACCCTAAACCCGAAATCCGAAGTGAAGCGCAGCAGGCCGCCTCCGAAGCTTTGGAGGCCACGAAGCCATTGGATGAAGATGATCCTTTGGAAGGCACCATCTGGAGGGGGGTCGCTTGAGAGGTTGTAGGGTTTCGACGTGAGGGTTAGGAATTGGGGTGTGGCAGTGAAGGGTTTTAAGGGGTTAGAGTTTGCGGTTTAGTTGTCAGTCTACAGATCCATCACTGTTCTTAACATGATCGCACGGTCATTCAAGGTGGGAATCAGGGAAACTGCGCGTTGACCGGATGTCAGGTCTCCAAGTGTCTGGGCAGCTCGCTGTCTTTGCCCGCTGCCTGGCCAAGAGTCCATCCTTGTTGCGTGGGAAGCCCAGGGGGACTCTGTGGATCTTGTTTCACTATCGCTACTACTACTACTACTACTACTACTACTACTACTACGACTACTACTACTACGACTACTACTACTACGACTACTACTACTACTACGACGACGACTACTACTACTGCTACCTACTACTACTACTACTACTACTACTACTACTACTACTACTACTACTACTACTACTACTACTACTACTACTACTACTACTACTACTACTACTACTACTACTACTACTACTACTACTACTACTACTACTACTACTACTACTACTACTACTACTACTACTACTACTACTACTACTACTACTACTACTACTACTACTACTACTACTACTACTACTACTACTACTACTACTACTACTACTACTACTACTACTACTACTACTACTACTACTACTACTACTACTACTACTACTACTACTACTACTACTACTACTACTACTACTACTACTACTACTACTACTACTACTACTACTACTACTACTACTACTACTACTACTACTACTACTACTACTACTACTACTACTACTACTACTACTACTACTTCTGCTACTACTACTCCCTCCTCGAGTTTCGGTGCAGGTGTTGACCTTCGCAGCTGCGGCCTCCCTGCAGATGTTGCTCAGCGAGTGACGACGGTGAGCTTGAGGGTTTGGGCTTTGGGTCTTTGAGGGCTTAGGGTTTAGGGTTTAGGGCTTAGGGGTTTAGGGCTTTAGGGTTTAGAGTTTAGGGTTTAAGGTTTAGGGGTTTAGGGGTTGAGGGTTTAGGGATTTAGGGTTTAGGGGTTTAGGGTTTAGGGATTTAGGGTTTAAGGTTTAAGGCGTCACGGCTCGAGAAAAGGTTGAGGTTAGCGTCTCCCTTGGAGTTGTTTACCTCACTTTTCATTCCTGACCCCAGCGCCATTGCGGCGCGCTTGTGCTAGCCCAAGGAGGCTTCACACTGGTCACTGCCGTTCGATTGGCTGACCACTTCCTGGAGGCGCTCTCCAGGTTGGAACTTGGCCCTGGCTAAGCTTAGGTTGCTGCCTTAACTGTGCCAACCCCGGGGCCGCGTGGCCCCCTTATGACTGCCCTGGCTGGATATTTGCCAATCCTGCCGCTCCTCTTCCTAGGACTTGGTCTGATCTGGATTGGGCACTACGACAGCGCGCCGTCGCCCGCGCAGTCCGGCTTGGCATCGCCGGCAAAGAAAGGCGCGCAGCAAAGCCCGGAGGGCCTTGAGGAGAGGCTTCTCTTCGGTGGACCACCTCCGTCTTCTCTCGAGCCATCACGGGAGTATGGCACCCAAACAAGGCGGTGGTGGCGGCCATCCATCGCAGAAGGGTGGAGCCGGCAAAGGCAAGGAGCGAGCCGACTCTGCACAGGCGACCAAGATCGAGTTTGGGCTTCCCCCGTCGATGGTGCAATCACTCCAATCGATTGCTACGCGATCCACACAGGATCTTTGGAGTCAAGCTGCTTTCACTGCGGAAAATGCCACAGTGGAACAACTTGCTCAGAGGAGTGCCAATGCTTTGGGGCGGCTCTCGAAGCGGCTCAATGGCAATGTTCGGGCCAAGAACGATCTGCAAGAGGCCCTCCTGGCATGGATGGCCCTGATTGGACAGCATCTTCTCGGCCTGGCCCACCGCGTCGACGCAGTTTGCCGGAAGGTCGACGAAGACACAGTGTCAGCCGTGGAAGAAATGAGGCAGGTCATGGCGGCGCAGCCTTCGGTTACCACGGAGGAGCAGCTCGATCGGGCCGTCCGCTCCCTGGGCCCTGTTTGGTCGGAGGCTCAGGTGACGGAGGTTCAACGTATGGCGGCAGCTCTTCGGGCCTTTGCAACCACAGCTGCTCCTCCCACGCCGATGCAGGGAATAACACCAGGGCAAGGAAATGTGCCCATGGGAAGTACGCCACCGGGAACCTGGCCGTGGACTGGGACTCCTGCGGATGTCCACCTGCCTGGGGCCCCGGAGCTGCGATCTCAGCTGCCTCCTCCAGCTGCGGGAGATTTGGGCTCCGAGGTCAGCTTCGGAGCGCTCGATGGTCCGACCGCGGCAGTGCCACCGGGCTCGTCATTGCCACGCGGGGGGCGGTGGCGCAAACGCAGTGGTGGTGGTATCGACAGACCTGCAAAAAGCCCACGACGGGACGCGGTGAGCTCGCCATGGTCTCGCGAGGCCACCGGTCGTACACCAGAGGGGCCTCGACGCGAAACAGCTACCGAGATAGCCAGCGAGGAGCCCGAGCTTCTTCCAGCGGCCCCTGGTCCTGCTGCTGGCTCCTGGATCGCCTCCTGGTTGGCTATCCTGCGTTTTGCAGTCGACAATGGTGCCGAGCTGATCGGAGAGCTCAGCCGCAGCCCTCAGCAGGATTTGGTTCTGCCTCTTGCATGGGACGATCAGGCGCAGGATGTGGTGCTCAGTATGGCCAATGCTGCCTGGACTATGTTGGAGGGAGCGGTCGCAGACCCGGTTCAAGCGGACCTCCAGGCACTCTTCCTCTCGCTTTCCGAGGCCCTGCATGGAGTGCGGAGGTGCGCCAATGCACTTCCCTTGTTACGCCAGGGCCTCTTGGTGGCGGCGCTCATGTCTCTGGGTGGCCTACGAGACCCGTTCTCATTCGCACCGGCCACGGCACAGGAGTGGCTGTTCCCGGATCTCCTTTTGGAAGCTGGAGCTCCCCTCCGCGGGTTTGTGGCCTCGGCACCCTCGACGGATCCTCACGTCCAGGTTCTGTTACACATGCCGTCACCGATGCGGAGTGTCGATTTGAGCCCCAATCCGCAGGAGCTCGAGTAGGGTGCTACTTCGCCCCTGGTCACCCAGTGCTGCAGCTGACGCCGTCACTACTGGAAGTACACGATGGCCTCGCCCATCGCAGTGAAGAAGAGCATCCTTGGCGGGGCTTTTCTGTCACTGCGCTGGGCCTTTTCCTAGGCAGATGTGTTCTCCTGTACATAGCCCTGAGCCGCGTAGTTCTTGTGGTAGACCGATTTCATGCAGCCTATGGCAGGAAGCTCCCTTGGCACCGTGCGTGGCAACTCAGCAGTACCATTTCGGCCACCGCATGGTGGGTGGCGGCATCCGCTGGTCCACCTGCACCTATGCTGGGTTGTGCCATTGTCAGCGAGTGTCTGGCCTTTGCCCCGTGCTTGTGCCTTGGCATTCACTCACGGTTGGTGTGCGCGGCCCTGTGGACCTTCCGGTTTCTGCCTGCTGAACTTGTGTGCTTCCCTCTTCCCCGGCATGTCAGGCCCGTCTGTCACCATTTGATTCGGCTCTGGCGACGAGGGCGCCACTCCGGGATGCCCCGTGCTGGCCGCAGGATCGCTCTGGTGAGGCATTGCGTGAAGCCAGGTACACATTCTACGGGCCGGCCGCCTCTTCGAGTCGCGCTTGTGTTGTTGTACTTGTCTGTTGTAGACGGCTCCTCCCTTCGGTTGGGCGTCGGGCTCCTTTCCGCTTGCCTTCCTCCCTCGCTTGATGCCGTGCAACTGCATGCTCATGGGTTTCACGAGGGCCTTCCTGTCCTCAGTACTGGCCCGGTCCTTCCTACTCCCTCTGCCGAGGAGATGTGCGAAGTGTACCCAGTCGGTCGGACTGGAAACCTGCTGCTGCCTCGCACGGATAGGAGCAGGCGGCACCTCGCCGTGTTTGTTGGCACACCACCTGGCGCCCCGGTCCTTGAGCCTTGCCCTATACCTCTTCTGGTTGACGAGTGGTTGCACGGGCCACTCCTGCACGACCGTGTAGCGGCAACTCTCGGCTTCCCGGCTGGGACTTTCACGGCATCCTCTGTTCGCGGCATTTTACCAGGACTTCCTGGGGAGCAGCTTCTCTTCACCGCTGTTGGGTGTACCTGGCGCCAAGTTTGGCTTCCTGTTGACATGCGCCAACTTGGAGGGAGAATATGTATGCTCCTTTGCCCACGTGATTCCACATGTCGTGCCATTGCTCAGCTTGCTCTCACCGCTCAGGCTCTTCAGGCAGACGTTGATTTGTTGTTAGCCCGCTGCCCATGGGGCTGGCTGACACTCCTGTCCCAGCCACTGTTCTTGCAAAATGTGGATACCTTGCAATTTCAGGTGGGGCCGACAACTGATGCCTTGCAAGGACTCATCGGAGCGTCACTGGATCCCCCTCTCTCCCTGTTTTCGCGTATGCAGGTTAGCCTTCCTACGGCGCCGCTCACTCAGGAAGCCTTCCCTGGGCACTCGCACAACCAAGCCATTCTTCTCACTCCTAATGGCCTGGTGTATGTTGAGGCACCGGTGTTTGCTGACGCGGCCACTTTTCGGCGCATAGTGTCGACGAAAGCCTCGCCGAGTGCCACCGGCGGTATCATGCGTATTTGGCACCCATTGCCTTCGTTGCCCCTTGTGCAGTTTCTCGAAATTCATTGTCGTGGTGACGAGGTGCCTTGTATTCTTGATTTTAGGCCCGTAGGCTGGCGCCTGACCACGGTGTGTGTGTCCCCGCCCGTCACTCCGCTTGCTGCCGTTGCTGCCGCGTCTTGCCGTGACAGGAATAGCCTCCCTGTCGAATGGGTCAACCAGTGTGCCAGAGGGGGTTTTGGGCTTCTCTACCGAGAACTTGCGGTTCTTCCTGAGCAAGTTCTCTCTGGTAACTTCCCGCTGGTTATAATGTTTTTCCCTCATGTCTTCCGGCAGGATTCTTCGCCCTCCTCTGAGGAGCAAGTCGGAGGATGGGACGACGCGGGTACCTCTGACACCATTTTTGCACTTCAACATACCTTGTTGCCCTCGCACGCCAGCGCGTCAGCTGCGGCCGCCTTGCCGGCATGCACAGGGGTCTCCCCGTCTGAGTTTCTTGACAGCACCTGTCTTGCAACACCTGACCCTGCTGCAGAGCCGGATTCCGAGACCTCTTTTGCAGTGGGCTCGGTGTCCCCCCCCTGCCTTGGCTTCCTTGGCATTGGGGTCTTGCATGGATTTCTGTCGGACAGGTTTGGAGGGTTGATTTGGGGTGCAACAGCTCTTCTTCTCAACCTTGGCCTCTCGGAGGCAGTTCAGCTTCACAGTGAGCCCCCATCGCCGCGTGATGTCGTTGTCTCAGCCTCCAGAGCCCCGGATCGCCAGGTTGCCGCGCCAGCCGGAGTACACACTCACCTTCACGCATTGTGGCTCCAAAGTGGAGACTTCGGGGATGGCCAACTTTGGGCGGTGCTGCCATCGTCTAGCGCGAGATTGTTGATCTCCTGTCGCTTATGGCAACCTGGATCTTCGGTCCGTCTTGAGTTTTCCAGCTCTGATAGTGCACGGGAGGCCTCGGCCGAGGTGTACCGACAAGCCATTCGACTCGGCCGCCCCCAAGTTGTTGCTGCGCCTGTCGGACCTACCCTCGACGCGATCAACTTAATCACCCTCCCCAGATGCTCATCTGCCATCACTGTGCTTCTTGATATTGGCCAGGAGGTTGTATGCGCTGAGCTGCCGGCAGCATATGCTGCATCACATGTTCTTGAAGCCGCCCAGACTGCCGCTGGATCTACCGATATCCAAATTTTGAAAGGCCACGCACATAAGCTGAGACACGGTGATGTTGTCAGGGTTGTTGTTAATTCTGCGGCCTGTGCCATTGATGTCTCCTCTTTTATGCTGCCATGTCGAGGTGCGCCAGCCTCTAGTTGGCTGCACGAAATGCGTGTTATTTCCATCCTCCACCCGCATGAAGGGGTGTTGTCCTTCGAAGTACCGCGCTCGAATGTTGTCGACGCTGCCCTGTTGCAGGCTCTTCTGCGCGGCGTTACTACGGGGTTTAAACACAGTTTTGTGGAAGTCCCTGGGCTGGATGCACTCCCACATGCCACTTTCGCAGCGGCTCAAACCGGTCAGGACTGTATTGTCTATCGGCTCACTGATGTCTCCGATGCTGCATCAGTTGGCCTTTTCTTGGTCTTTTCTGGAGTTTTTGACTCATTTCCGACCTTCCTTGCCAGCCTTCTGCATAGTCCCCGGCCAGCGGCGACTTTGCTCCGCAAGCTTCAGCCTTTTGGACTGTCTGTGTTATCTTGGGAATGCACTCCCATGCCAGGCCGGGCTGACTGCCAGTTTTGGTTTGTTCACACGCAGGCTGATTTTGCACGCGCAGGCCGACATCTGGTGCGCTTTCTTGGTGAGCCCCGTGTCATCCGTCAGTCTACACATCTTCCCCCTCCTCGAGGCCGCACCCTTGCTCATGCTGAGGTCCAGACAAGCGCTCCATTCATTGCGGCGAGCACACCTGCTGCGGTTCTGCAAGCTCCGCCCTCCAATTGTGGGGTAGGCATTGTTCCCGACTCTGCTTCCGACTTCGCCAGTGTGTGGTGCGAAGCTTGGCGGGTTAAGTGCACTGTGTCTTGCATCCCGGGATTTTCAGTGTGGGCTTTACGTGAAGGGGGCCGACTTGTCGGGATGTGCACACCAACTCCGGATTGGGATGATGTGGCACGGGCTCTGTCCCTCTCCCTGTGGGAGTTGCCCCACACATTCTTGTCGGATCGTGCCCAAGTTTGGCCGTACCCCAGAGATCTGTCCGGGGTTGCTGGTAAATGTGTTAGTGTAGGGTACGACTCGCCTGAGGGTGTCTCGCAGTTGCTCCGGCAATGTCACCCCCACTTTCCAAGCCCGCCACCTGCTCCGGCGTCACTGTCCTCCACAGCCATGAGTTGGTTATGCTTCAGCAAATGGCGCCTTCCCTGGCTCTTGGGCGTTCTGGCTGTTCAGGTGAGTGCCGTCCAGCTTCCGTTGGCCCCGTCCGACCTTGCTCCCCAGACCCGGTCTGGCGACCCCCTTCTCACGCGCCGGGACTTCACGCGGACATGCACTCTGTCCTGGACCCACGAGCTAGGCCGACAGACGCATGGATTCGCTGTCGCCGCCCCCCAGCTTGGTGCCTATATAACCTGCACAGCACCCTTGCCTGAGGTTCAGATCCATTTATGGCTTCCAGGCCAAGGGCCAGTTCATATGAGGGTCAGTGGGAGGCATCTTGATCGGCACCTCAGCGCGTACTTTGGTGCTTTCTTGCCTGATTGCGAGTATAGCCTGCATGTGGCTTTCGACTCCAACCCACAAGTCCTGGACCTTCTGGTTGCGCCCCCATCCCCTCTTGTCTGGTGGATCCTTCGAGATTCGATTGGATGTGAACTGCTACGGCCGGTTCTGCAGCACTACACCTCGCACTGCACCTTTTTCTTCTGCACGGTTGAGCCCGATGGTGTAGTCTATAATGTTGAACCCTCCGCCGAAGTTAGGTACATGCTTCCAAGCCCCCAAGGCGCCCGAGCCCTCATTACCCGCGTCCTGCCTGGGCTTGTGGGTAAGGTTGTTGACGGTGTCCTACAGGTCGTTGCGGCCAGGGCTTGTTCGTCGCAGATTTTTGGAGGCCTCTCCCTGTTTCTCCTCAGCCGCCTGGTTCTCTCCATGCAGCCGCCAGCAATGCAGCAGCCCGGGCAACTCGTTGTGGCCAATCCGCCGGCCCCCTCTACCATTCGAATTTGGACACTCAATGTCAATCAACCAGTTGATCTTCCATGGCGTTCTCAGGGTTACCCTACGCGTTGGCTGAGGGACCTGATGTGTCGGCTTCATCACATTGATGACCCCGGGGAATTTCGCTCGACGCACTCGTTCCCTGACAGTACTGTGCAGCATGTTCTTTTTGTCCCTGTGGTCCCCGCCACGCAACCCACTGCCCGATTTTGGCTTATTCATTGGGGGGCCGCTGCTGTGGTCACTTTTGGCCATTCGCCTTTCAACTGGGACGTTGTGTCTGCGCACCTCCGTGCCCTCTTTCAG